AGATTATAAACAGATTTTTCTTCAAGTTTCGCATTTAAATAGTGTAATAACTTATGACAAAAGTTGCCTATGCTGGCCCACGTCGTCGTATAAGCATTCGGTATTCTTAAGATTTTAACAGAATTTTTAACGGATTTTATTTATTAGAAAATGCCAAATTTGTACCAAATGGTGGAGGGTATTAAAAGTTCGGCCCGGCCGAACTTACAGCTTTTTTACTTGTTTAGACTCAATTCGGTCGTAAGTCAAATTCCATCCTATTTGGGCAAATATTAGACGTTTGGTGCACAATTAAAGTTAAATCGGACGAAGTTATATATGGGAGCTATATCCAAATCGGAACCGATCTCGATAAAATTTAGCAAAGGTATTTCTGAGCTGCATTTGATATATTTCCCCAAATATTGTTGTTACAGAGTACATATTACGGCTGCGGAGGACAAAAATGACAAATCGGATGAACAATATATATGGGAGCTATAGCTGAACCGATTTCGATCAAATTTGGCATACTTATTTTCAGACCTAATTTGGTTGTAAGTGCAAAATTCCATACTATTCGGGCTGATATTACACGTTTGGTGCACAATAAAAGGCAAATCGGACGAAGATATATATGGGAGCTATATCTAAATTTTTACCGATTATCTTCAATTTCGTTCGTCCTAAGGCAAAATTTTATCTCAATCGGATAATAAATACGACCTGCATTTTGTTCACAAGAATACATGGACAGACGGACGGATGAACTGACATGCATAAATCAACTCAGAAAGTGATTCTATGGAGATTCTCAAAAGCAACTATGGGTCTATCTCGCTTCCTTCTCCATGATACTAATAAATGCACATAGACATAATACCCTACACCACTATGTGGTGTAGGGTATATTCATCGGACATAAACTATAATATCGTTTCGAGGCATTGGAACATAACCTCATCTAATCATTTTATGTTTTCTTTGTTTATCACAAATTTCGATTTTGAGATTTTTATTTTAAATTTCGTCATTACACAAATTTCTATTCTGCCTTCTTCTGAGTAACGAACGAATAACACACAAACTCAGCTACTGACTGACCCAAGATGCCATTGTGGCAAACATAGTAGTGGTACAAGTGAGTATTGTGTGCAAGTGTGGACTGTTCTCCTTATCCTATTAGTATTGGAAGAAATTTAAATAATATGCGCTGTAGTACATACATTCCTACTTAATTTTAATAGGATTCAATAAACACACAAAATATATCACCATCTGGAGAGAGACAATTTAAGATTGTTGGTATCAATATTCTTGACAACTCATGTGAAAAACACAGTTGTATTTTATGACACGTCATCGAACAAACCCTCTAAAAGGTCTTTTTTATACGCTGACCTTTGTTTAACCTTTAACTAATGAGGTGGTTGTAAATTTTACCCTCTCTTCAAATTGTATCTCTTTGTCTTACTCTTCTATTGCGATCTGTTTTTATACCATCCACCATACATAGTATGGAGTGTATATTAAGTTCGTTATTTCGTTTGTAAATCATCGAAATAATAATTTTAGATCCGACAAAGTACATATATTCATGAACAGCGTAAAGCTCTCCCGATATTCGATATTTTGATGGTTTTAGCCACATTTTTTAATCGAATTGGCTTGAAATGTACACAAAGAGTTCCTTCCATGGTAGGAAAATACAGGTAGATGCATCAATCATCGCTTGGGAACTTTGATATGTCAAAATTTTTTAAATATTTCTGCAAAAATATGTAAATTTGTCTATGTTTTACCACACATCGCCAATCGGAGGTTGTTATAATATGCATTTTTTAATAATTTTTGCAAATTTGAGTAATTTTTCATTCAAAAATTTCGATTCCAAAATTGGTTTGACAGTTCATTGTCCCAGCAGCTGTGTCGAAGCGTCTACCTATATTCTTCTACCATGGTTCCTTCTAAGTACTTAATTGTCTATATGCAGGGTGAGATGAAAAAACTGCAACCAACTTCAGACTGCTGTCATTTCTAAGCCTCTCATCCGACAGCTGTTAAAAATATAAATACTCAAAAGAACTAAAGAGTTACGCGCTTGGCCGAAAGTGGTGAACTGCCGAATTTGGTTTTCTCCGATGAGAAAACATTCGTTGTCCAGCATTTTGTAAACAAACAAAGTGCCAAAGAGGTCAGCTGAAAATGTACACCTTCGGTTGGCCACCAGAACTCAAGCGCCGGCCATGGTGATGGTGTGGGCCACCTATGTCGATTTAGCGATATCCGTCCGTCTGTGAAAATCACTCTAGCTTAGTCAAATGTATATTATGTCTACAGGACTTTTGGTATTGAAAATGGGTCATGTAGGTTCACGTTTTGGTATAGCCCCCATATAATGGTACCTCCCTATTTTTAGTATTTTGGTGATTTAAGCAACATTATTTACCGGAATTGTTTCAAATTTGGTATATAAAATTCGTAACAGATACTAGGGTAAGTGTGCCTAAGTTCGGCATGTCCCAGTAGTCGGCACTTTTTATTTTTAAGCCCAAATAAATAAAACTATTATAACTAAATGTATTTTGTTTACTTCAAATATATTGTCAGCTATCTTTGTGCACAATTTTGCTAAGAAAAGATGAATTATTCTAATAAAAATTAAATTTTTGTCTGTGAAGGTCCTCAACAATTCATATTCTTAAGAAAAGTACAATAAAGTCGTCAAATCAGTTAACCTAAACAAAAATATTATATTTTAATGAATTAATTTATTATTATTATTAATAATTCATACAAAAAAAATGGTATGCCGACTGTTGGAAAATGTCATACCGACAATTGGCAAGTTGTGCCGACTACTGGCAAAAAAGCATTGTTTTAATAAATCTACAAACTTATGAAATTTAATAAAAAGTTATTAAAACTTTATTTATTATTGCAAAAACTATACAAAATTTCGAATCTGAATAAATTAACTTTGTAATAATTGAAATGTTCCACTCAGAATGGTGAGCGATTAAAAACGCGAAAATCCTAAAAGTGCCGACTACTGGTACACTTACCCTACAGTCTATAACAGAAAATTGTCTGTGCAGGTCCACGTCTTCGTATACATCGGGGGTAACCAAAAAAGGTGGGGGATGTTTCGCCCATTTTTAAGTTTTTGTATAATATCCTAGATAAGATTCCATGAAATTTAGTTAAAAATGTATTTACCTAAAATGTTGTACTTGGCAATATTGCTGAAATCCAGGGAATATGAAATATGAAAATCCAGGGAGTATTTCTGTTAAACAATTTATTCGAATCATTAAAGGGTCTTATAATTACTCCATTCAGATGTGGTCGTATTAAACCAAAACATTTTATAAAATTGTACATCACAAAGTTTTATTTATGGTCTCTGCAGAAACCAATGTTTTATTGAACTATTTTGCACGAACTCAGCAAAAGTTCAAAATGGGCGAAACTTCTCTGCCTTATTCTGATTACATTTCGATGTAAGCTTTCAAAACGCCAATCATATTTATAGCTCTTATGCAATAAACAATTCCATTTTTTTCTAGAAATTTTGCATGTGCACTCGAACAAAACTATGCAGGCTGAGATAAAAAAAAAACTGCAACAAAGTCAAACGCCATAATTTTTACATTCTTTTTTAAATTTTATTGAATGACGGTATCATTGGCCTTCAAACGGCCAATGATACCGTCACACGCTGCGCGAATGATGCTCTGCGGTGTTTTGGCCAATTCCCGGCGAAACGCTTGCTTGAGGTGATCGACACTTTGGTATTTTTTAGTGCCAACCTTTCTTTTCAAAATACTCCAGACACAATAGTTCAACCGATTGGTATCCGCAGATTTTGGTGGCCATTGTGCGATGGAAATGAAGCGATGAACCTCATTTTGTAACCATTCTTGGATGTCGCGTGCTGAGTGCGTTGGTGCTGAGTCCTGTTGGTATGTTCAAGGTCTGCGGCCAAAATGTTTGCGGCATTAATTCTGATGCCACGGTCGGTTAATACAAGCCGAGAGCGACCATCGGCTGTTATGGCGCCTCCAAACCATCACCAAGGTTCACATTTTCAGCTGATCTCTTTGGCAAGTAAGCACGATAATTTTGTTTGTTTGCAGACCGCTGGACAACGACTGTTTTCTCATCGGAGAAAAACAAATTCGGCAGCTCACCACTTTCGGCCAAGCGAAGCAACTTTTTAGCTCTTTTGAGTCTATTTTCTTTCTGCTGCTGTGTAAGTTCTTGCACTTTTTGGAATTTCAATGGCTTTACTCCCAGCTCATTTTTCAATACTTGCCGAATGGAATATTGCGATATGTTCAGCTTACACGCCATTTTTCGGCCATTGCGACGTGGGTTTTGATCAAGTCGCTTCTTTTTTTTCAAACGTTGCTATTTTCTTCCGCCCATTTCCTTGACGTCGGGCTACGCTACCAGTATGACGCTGACGAGCGATAGTACGAGTCACAAAAGATTTATTCACATTTTAATGCTGAAGTGCTCTAACGATAGCCTCTTGTGGTTTTCCAGCCAAATATAAAGAAATCACACTGAAAGAAATCACTGGAAAATTCTCACCAAAATGCTTTTGTACGCTTGTAAACAATGTAATGAGCTGTCACTGGAATAATTCTAACAGCTGTCAAACGAGTGGCTTAGAAATGACAGCTGTCTGAAGTTGGTTGCATTTTTTTCATCTCACCCTGTATATGCTATGTTGGTTATCATCAAATGTGATGAGAAATGAGGCTCCTTATGTTAAGCTGTGATTTTTCTTCTTGTAGCGCTATTTCGCATGAGTTACGTCCTACAGATCAACGCGTTTAAAGTCTTCAGATCCAGCTTCTATTCAAAAGTTAAATCTAAAACTTTAATATACCTGAGCTTTTAAAAGTTAAGTATTAACCCTATATGAAATGTCACAAACGAGCGACATTTTATGAGATCGGATCTATAAAACGTTGCAAACTAAAAATAGCAAGGCGATAAGACTTTTCATATTGTTATTGTATTCGGAAGATAATTGGATTTTACTACGTGATAAATTTTATTCATGTTGTTCGTATTATTTAAAATATTTTAAAATAAAATCGCCATTTTATTCATTACCCAAGCATTTTATTTACAATTTAGCATATTCGGATTCATGAACTACCATATTCCTTTGGATGTCTTTGAGTTTTTGGCATCCCGTTAGGGACATTGTTATTTCAAAGTCTTTCTTGAGCACTTTCAACATTTCTCTTACACCGGCAGATCCGCCGCAGCCAAGTCCCCATATTGCTGGACGTCCAACGAATACCATTTTAGCACCCAATGCTAATGCTTTAAAAACATCATTGCCATGACGTATACCGCCGTCCAACATCACAACAATGTCATCCCCTACGGCTTTAACAACTTCGGGTAGAGCCTCAATACTGGCCGGTACATAGTCAAGTTGTCGAGCCCCGTGATTTGAAACTATAATACCAGCACAACCAAATTCCCGTGCCAAAACGGCATCTTCCGCTGTTAGCACACCCTTGACAATCACGGGAAGATATGTGCTCTTTACTAGCCATTCAACGTCTTTCCAGGTAAGTGTGGCATCGAATTGGCTGGCAACATATTCATTGATACCCGATGTTCCCTCTTCGCTGTGAACACCATCCGATTGGGATGAACGTGTATCGAAATTTGCCAAACGCAAGTGTGAAGGCAGGCTAAAATTGTTTCTAACGTCAGCCCAGCGTTGGCCAAAGATAGGGGCATCAATAGTGAGAACCAAAGCTTTGAAGTTGGCCTTCTCGACTCGACGTAGAATTTGTTCAGTTAGGGAGCTAAAAAGTGAATAAAACTTGGGATAGATTAAAATTTTTTGATAAGGAGTAGGACTTACCGATCTTTGTATATATAAAGTTGAAACCATTTACAGGTATCTGGAGCAACCTGTGCTACCTCTTCTATTGACATTGTCGAAAGGGTACTCAAAATGAAAACGCTTCCCATTTCACCAGCGGCTTTAGCGTTTCCACCTTCTCCATCGCTGTGAGCCATTTTCTGCATAGCTGTGGGAGCAATGCCAACAGGCCATTTTAGCTGATTACCAAGGACAGTGCAGTTGGTATCCACATTGGATACATCTCTCAAGCAACGGGGTCGGATTCTTAGCCTATAAAGGAGAATTTAAAATATCCCTCCATTTTAAAATTTTTGTTTATTTATTTTTTTTTTTGCAAATAGTTGAATTTTACCTACGAAATGCTTCCCGATTCAGGTTCAATGAAAACTGCTCACCGGCACCACTGCGATAGTAATCTAGAGCCTTCTTATCTATGATCTTATGGGCCTCTTCTTCAAAATCTGTTACGCTGACAAAAGGCGGAGCCATACTTGTTTCTTAAAATGTCTATTCTTGCTGACACCAAAATGAAAACTGAACATTTACTGTGCGGCTGACAGATCATCTTTGTTTCCCAGATTCATTTATTTAAAGGTTTGAAGAGATAATTGCAGAGATTAGAAAAAGACTGTGCTTCTTATCGCTTGCAATAACTTACCATATAAATAAATAAATGGAAATTTTTGTTTGTGTTAAAAATATTGTTTTGGAGATTTGCCACTATTAAAACACAGGGTGACTTGTTTTTCTACAAAACAATGTCATAATTCAAAAATGCCGTTAAATTTAAAATGTGTAATTTGTTTGGAACGTACCAAATATTCAAAGTGGCATATCTGAATCACTATACATATAAATAAATTGAATTTTGGTTTGTATTTGTGTTTTTTAAGTTCACAAAACAATTCCATAATTCAATAATGCCGCAAAATTTAAAATACTGCATTTGTTCGATAAATACTTAATATTATACCTATAATATGTTCGGAACGGCCTTAGTGGCCAAATTCGAATGATGCATACCTTCAATGCAACATATGTTCTTTTTATACCCTCCACCACAGTATGGAGGGTATATTAAGTTTGTCATTCCGTTTGTAACAACTCGAAAGATACATTTAGACCCCACGAAGTATATATATTCTTGATCAGCATTCTATATTAAGCGATGCCCGTCCGTCTGTGGAAATCAATCTAGCTTCCGAACGAAACGAAGTAGGTTGATATAATTGTACTCAAATGTATAGTATGTCTGCAGGACTTTTGGTATTGAAAATGGGACATGTAGGGGTACAGCCCCCATATAATGGTACCTCCCTATTTTCGGTATTTTTAATTTGGCGGAAGTGTTTTAAATTTGGTATTTGAAGTTCGTAATGGATACTACAACCTATGACAGAAAATTGTCTATGCAGGCCCACGTCTTCGTAATACCCCCATATAATGGCACCTCCCGATATTCGCTATTTTGATGATTTTAGCGACATTATTCTCCAGAAGTGTTTCAAGTTTGGTATTTGAAGTTCGTAATGGATACTACAGTCTATAACAAAAAATTGTCTGTGCAGGTCCACGTCTTCAAATAGACCCCATATAATGATACCTCCCTATAGTCGGCATTTTTAAGATTTTAGCTACATTTTTCAAAGTTCGGCCCGGCCGAACTTTCAGCTATTTTACTTGTTTAATGGTAAAACTAGTAAACATTAGCTCTGCCAGAACTGCTTTGCTCACAAAGTACGAGAACGGAAAACTAGTAGAAATGTCAAAATGTATGGCAATCCTTCAAAGCCAACATTTCAGCCAATCAGAAGCTGCCAACCATGCTCCTATTTTTATACCCTCCACCTTGGAAAGGAGGGTATATTAACTTTGTCATTCCGTTTGTAACATCCTTAAATATTCGTCGTAGACCCCATAAAGTATATATATTCATAATCAGCATAAAATTCTAAGTCGATTTAACGATGTCCGTCTGTATGTCTGTCCGTCTGTCTGTTGAAATCACGATACAGCCCACATTATTTGACGTAGAGAGCCAAAATTTAGCAGAGCTATTTGTATTGTGTCTAGGATGGTTGGTATTGAGATGTATCGGTCCACGTTCTGGTATAGTCCCCATATAACGGTACCTCCCGATATTCGGTATTTTGATGATTTATGCCACATTTTTTCACGGATTTGTCTGAAAATTGATATTTGTAGGTCATAACGGGTCCTTGTGCGTGTGGCAAAACATTGCATGTATAGGTCCACGTTTTGGTATAGCCCCCATATAAAGGTATCTCCCAGAACATTGTATGTATAGGTCCACGTTTTATAACGGTACCTCCCAATATTTGACACATTTTTTCATGAATTACTCTGAAAATTGGTAGTTGTAGATCATAATGGGTCCCAGTTCGTGTGGCGAGTCATTGTAAGTATAGGTCCACGTTTTGGTATAGCCCCCATATAACGTTTTGGTATAGCCCCATATAACCTCCAGACATTCGTAATTTGATGATTTTTGCCACATTTTTTCACGAATTTTTCAGAGAATTGGTATTTGTAGCCATAATGGGTTCTAGCACCGTTGGCGAAACATTGTATGTATAGGTCCATGATTTGATATAGCTCCCATATAACGGTACCTCCCGATATTCGGTATTTTGATGGTTTTCGCCCTCAAATTTGCCTAGAAAAACAGTAAAAAAGCAACACTATAAAGGTGTGGGTACATATGCTGCTTGAAGTCTTCGCATTGCATATTTTGTGACATGTCAAAAAGGAATGTCAGAGCCACACTTGAACCCTGCCGTCGTTTCTCCTTATGATTTGATGCCAATCGGTTTGTGTGCACAAACCTTAATTGTGTGTGATATCTTCATTTTGCCTGCAAGTTTTCATAGGTTTTGGGTAGAACTCTGAAACAACTCTGAAACAATTTCTTGTAGTTTCCGAGCATCGACAAAGCTGCTGGGACAATGAACTGTCACACCGATTTTGAAATTGAGAATGTTAAATGAAAAATTATTGGAATTTGTAAAAATTTTTGAAAAATTCATGCTATAACAACCTCCGATTTACGTCGTAGAAGAAAATATATATAAATGTTCTTATTTTTGCCAAAACATTTTAAAACTTTGGCGTATCATTGTTCCCAAGCGTTGATGCATCTACCTGTATTTTTCTCTTAAACTGCACTTTTGTGAAATATTTTTAACATGATCGATGTTTGCAAGAAATGTAACGAATATCAACGTTTGGGCCAAATCATGCGCACCAACCATTTCGTTAGGGGCAATAAAGAGTTATCAAGTTGTACCCTCGTAATTCGAACAACAAGTGCAATATAAAGTAAGCTATCAGAAGTAGTGGACTGATATGGTCCATATTCGGACGTGATGTAGGTTTGGAAGAAATATTACGAAATGCAAGTTTTGGACCAAATCGGTTATTTCCTTTGAGATCGGTAGAGTTCATCTTTGAACTTTATCTGGGATTGTTTTGTCCACATCGTTGTAATCTGGACCCTGAATACAAGCTGAGGTAAAATTTTCAAAATGATCAGACAACAGGTCTCGTTCTATACTTAAAATAACTTTTGTATGGGTGATAGCGAAAGCAATCGACCGATATGGTTCATTTTCGAACTTGATCTAGGTGTGGATCTCTTCGAGAAGCTATGGACGAAATGGTTAACAGATATGGCCAGATCGACTTCAAATTCTCCCAAACTGATGTGATCTTAATATGTTCGGGTCTAATACCTTTGCTTTATTGAATAATAAATGAAATTTATAGGACCGTTCTTCAAAACGTTCTTTATAGTTTTGTTTTTCACATTATCGGGGTTTCATTATTTTATTTTCCCTTTTTGGTTGTTGCAAAATGGTCAGGCTTAATCCCATTATTGTTGTTTTTATAAAAGCAAAGTTTGTTGGATAACGATGGTAATGTTTACCAGAGGGTAAGGCAGGAAATACCTAGGTTTCGGAAAGAGCCCCCAATCCTCATCAGTTCCCATGTTTTTTTGTCTGGGATATTCTACTTCGTTATGTAAAACGATTAATATGTTTATAAGTGGGGCTTTAAGATTTAGAAGGTTTTCAAAAAGAATTTTAGTTTTATGTAATTCTTTGATTGCTCTTCTATTGAGCTTACGATCTCGTCACGTAAAATCATCCAATCCAACTGTTAAATTAACCCCCTTTTTGACGTATATGCAATGGAATTGGAAAGTTAAATCCTGCAGTTTAACAAATCCGTAAACGTAATATTACGAATGACTTAAGCCGGTCCAAAAAGCGTTTTATGTACTCTCACCTTTAACGCATCGTTTGTTGTCGTTGCAGTTGTTTAAAGATATTTGTACGTTCTTTAATCCTAACGTAACCTGCAGTCATTGAAATGTAAAACCAGTAAAGAAAGTCTTAAAGTCGGACGGGGGCGACTTTATGATACCCTACACCACTTTGTTAATTTAGAAGAGCTCCGCATAAACATTAAAAGTTTTTATGGGAGAATTCAATCATACACGCTATGATTATAATTATAATTTAAAGTTTAAAGTTCGAACTTATATTGCCCATTTGGTGCACAATTAATTTGAAATCGGATAAACATATATATGGGAGCTATATCCAAATCGGAAGCGATCTCGATAAAAATTGGCAAAGATATTTCTGAGCTGTATTTGATATATTTCCCTGAATATCGTTGTTACGGAGTGCATATTACGGCTGTGGGTAACAAATATAACAAATCGGATGAAAAGTATATATGGGAGCTATAGCTATATCTGAACCGATCTTCACCAAATTTGACATACTAGCTTCTAGACTCAATTCGATCGTAAGTGCAAATTCCATCCCATTTGGACAAATATTAGACGTTTGGTGCACAATAAAATGTAAATCGGACGAAGTTATATATTTGAGGTATATCCAAATCTGAACCGATCTCGATTAAATTTAACTGTATTTGATATATTTCCCCAAAGATTGTTGTTAAAGAGTGCATATTACGGCTGCGGAGGACAAAAATAACAAATCGGATGAACAATATATATGGGAGCTATAGCTACATCTGAACCGATTTCGATCAAATTTGGCATACTTATTTTCAGGCCTAATTTGGTTGTATGTGCAAAATTCCATACTATTCGGGCTGATATTACACGTTCGGTGCACAATGAAAGACAAATCGGACGAATATATATATGGGAGCTATATCTAAATTTTGACCGATTATCTCCCATTTCAATAGTGTTCGTCCTTGGGCCAAACAAATAATTTGTGCAAAATTTCATCTGGATATGGCAGTAAATGTGAACTGTACTTTGTTTACAAAAACACATGGACAGAAAGACGGACGGACGGACGGACGGACATGCATAAATCGACTCAGAATGTGATTCTATGCAGATCATCAAAAGGAACAATGGGTCTATCTCGTTTCCTTTTGCCAGACCTGACCACCTTGTGGTGTAGGGTATAAAAAGCATAACAGGGTATAAAAAGCAATATTTGTGTACTGACTGTTTGGTTTTTATTTAACTATTTTTTATGCGTAAATATAAAAAAGGAGATATAGAAATATAATATATAAACAATATACTGAAAATAAATGTGACCTCTCTCTCTCTCTCTTGATTTGAACATGCAGAGAAACGTAATTTAATGATAATCAACCATAGGGTTGCACCTAAATTCCCTGGTAGTCGGTATAAAATGTCGAAAATATTTGGATGAATCAATTTTTAAAATTAAATGTATATTTTTGGTTATTAAAAATGAATTAAGGTGAGAACACATAGAATAAGTGTTTTGCATGCTTAAGCCATGGGCTGGTTTTTCGTAAAAGAACAAAGGAGTGTAGGGTGAATAAGTATACATATTGAGCCGAACTTGAACTAAGTCAACATAAATCTCCTTAGTTCTTTTGCGACCAGGCAGTAAAGCCTTCTATGTATTTGCACCTTTACAGTTTGGCATATTCACACTCGTGAACAACATTCCTCCTCTGGATATCATTCAAGGTCTGACATCCTGCCAATGCCATTGTTATTTCTAGATCACGTTTCAGTACACGCATCATTTCCTTAACGCCTGCTGTACCACCGCAAGCCAAACCCCACAACGCCGCTCTGCCCACAAATACCATTTTAGCTCCCAACGCCAAGGCTTTGAAGATGTCGTTTCCTTGGCGAATACCGCCATCAAACATAACAGTTATGTCGTTGCCCACCGCTTTCACTACTTCTGGAAGTGCCTCAATACTGGCTGGTATAGAATCCAAATGTCGAGCACCGTGATTTGACACAATGACACCAGCACAACCAAATTCACGAGCTAAAACTGCATCTTCGGCGGTTAGCACACCCTTTGCCACGACTGGCAAATGTGTCAGTTTCACTAGCCATTCAACATCTTTCCAGGTGAGTGTAGCATCGAATTGATTCGAAACATATTCATGTACCGCCGACATGCCATCTTCACTTGTGGTTCTCATATCCGAAGCTGATGATTGAAAATTGGCCAACTCCAAATGGGTTGGCAAACTGAATTTGTTTCTGGCATCTGTCCATCTTTGACCGAAAACAGGAGAATCGATGGTAAGTACGAGGGCTTTGAAATTTGCCTTCTCAACACGCCGTACGAGGGATTCGGTAAGGGAGCTGTCAAAAGAAATAAATGAAAAACCGTAAAAAACAATTATTTTTTAAAATATATGAAAACTAATAACTTCCCAGCTTAAATGCTCATTACAAATTGGCTTACATTTGCCCTTGTTAAAATAATGGGTTAATAACCTGACTTGAAATTGGTTTTTTTTGGATGATTATTATCATGGCAGATTTAAAGTATGGGTACATAAACAGATTGGCATCGTATTAGATATCAATGTCAAATTATAAGGAATATAAGGAAAAACGACGCAGGATTCGAGTGCGGCTCTGGCATTATTTTATGTTATGCCACACTTACTTAAATGAGATTACTTAAACCTTTAAAGTGGTAATCTCATTTGCAAAATCAGATAATTTTTATACCCTCCATCATTCTATGGAGGGTATATTAACTTTGTCATTCCGTTCGTAAATCCTCGAAATACTCATGTCAGACCCAACAAAGTACATATATTCTTGATCAGCGTAAAATTCTAAGTCGATTTAGCTATGTCCGTCTGTCTGTCTGTAATCACGCTATCCTTCGAACGAATTGAGATAGAAGGCTAACATTTTGCATACATGTTTATTTTGCCAGTAGGCAGGTTAAGTTCGTCATGTAGGTCCACGTTTTCATATAGCACCATGTAACGGTACCTCCCTATATTCGGTATTTTGATGATTTTAGCGACATTATTCACCGGAGTAGTTTCAAATTACGTATTTAGAGTTCGTAAAGGATGCTACAGCCTGTAACAGAAAATTGTCTATGCAGGTCCAGATCTTCGTATAGCTCCGATATAACAGTATTTTGAAGATGCTACATTATACCCGTTTATAATATGGTAATGGCTTATAACAAACAGTGCATATGTAGGTCCATGTCCCAATATAACGGCTATATTCGCTATTTTTATACCCTCCACCATACTATGGAGGGTATATTAATTTTGTCATTCCGTTTGTAACTCCTCGAAATACTCACGTCAGACCCAACAAAGTATATATATTCTTGATCAGCGTAAAATTCTAAGACGATTTAGCCATGTCCGTCTGTCTGTGTGTCTGTCTGTCTGTCTGTCCGTCTGTCTGTCTGTTGTAATCACGCTATCTTTCGAACAAATTGAGATAGAAGGCTAAAATTTTGCACACATGTATATTTTGCTAGTAGGCAGGTTAAGTTCGTAAATGGGTCATGTAGGTCCAAGTTTTCATATAGCCCCCATATAACGGTACCTCTCGATATTCGGTATTTTTTATGATTTTAGCAACATTATTCACCGGAATTGTTTTGAATTTGGCATTTGAAGTTCGTAATGGATACTACAGCCTAAGACAGAAAATTATCTGTGCAGGTCCACGTCTTCGTATAGCCCCCATATAACGGTACCCCCCGATATTCGGTATTTTGATGATTTTAGCGACATTATTTAACGGAACCGTTCCAAATTTGGTATTTGAAGTTCGTAATAGATACTGCAGCAGAAAACGGAAAATGGGCCATGTAGGTCCACGTCTTCGTATAGCCCCCATATACCGTACCCCCCGATATTCGGTATTTTGATGATTTTAGCGACATTATTTACCGGGATTGTTTCAAATTTCGCATTTGAAGTTCGTAATGGATACTTCAGCCCATGCCAGAATATTGTCTGTGCAGGTCCACGTCTTGGTATAGCCCCCATATAACGGGGGAAATTGCCAAATTTGTACCAAATCGTGGAGGGTATTAAAAGTTCGGCCCGGCCGAACTTACAGCTTTTTTACTTGTTAAGATTTTAACAGAATTTTAAGCGGATTTTATTTTTTGAAAATTTCCAAATTCGTTCCTAATGGTGGAGGGTATTCAAAGTTCGGCCGGCCGAACCTACTGCTTTTTAACTTGTTTATATTAAAATTCATATATCACTAGCTGGCCCAGTCCGCGTTGCCGGCCCGAAGTTTTAGCCTTTAATGCATAGTTTTTAAAGCATAATAATTCACACATCTGGCTCACATAAGTGGCACCATTTTTAGTATAAATATAAATAATGACTCGATTAAATAGAAAAAAATCGTCTTTTAAAAACCCCGATCCTATTTTTCAGTAAGAGGTTTTAGTTTTAGAGTTAAAACCCTAAATAATATAGCATATATATTAAAAAGTATACATTAACTGTTTATAATAGACCCATGTAAGATGGTTCTCTACCTCCAAAGTAGCATAAACACAGATTTTAAGTCAAATCGATTCGAAAATATAATCAAAACCCTCGAAATAGATAAAATCAGGAGGTACTTTTATATGAGCCCTACTCCGAAACATTGACATTGAAAAATTTCCGCGAAGAGGTCTTTTACCTGTTACATATTTTGTACAAATGATTCCTCATGTAACCCCAGTATAAAATTTAAAACATTATCGTAACTTTTGCGGAGTATAGGGCAATGGACTCTAAAAAAGTTAGATCAGGGTACCTCTCTTTTGGGATTTTTATTTACAAACCCAAAATTTTCTTAACCCCAAGATTGACAGTGTAATTACTGAAGATAGCGCATAGTGCCCGTATAACGTTACCTGTAATTTATGGTTACTTTTAAGGGTTTGGAAGAATATGAATCCTTTTCTTACTATATTTTCAATTCACTCCACTATTTTGTATTGTCCGCATATTACAGTGCCTCTTCATATTCGGTATTTCACTGATAAAAGTCCCAATGAAATTTGCATTTTGAGTTCTCATTGGACGGATTATTTCCATATCTAATCAAAATTGAAAATTTTGGTATGGCAACCATATAACAGCATGTATAGAAAATATAATAAAATATATATATATATATATATATATATATATATATATATATATATATATATATATATAAATATAACAATAAGAATTTTCAATTCCACAAGGAATTCTGAAACAATTCCACACAATATTCCATATCATAAAAGAACAGAAATACATAAAGAGCATATTTGGCAGGCTTAAGTCATCGGCTGGCTTCTTCGTAGATGAACAAAGAAGTTTTAGGTTGACCTAGTTCGACTTTGGGCCTATGCTCCTTTGTTCATTTCCGATGAAGCCAGCCGATGACTTAAGTCAGCCAAATATGCTCTTTATGTATTTCCAGCCTTAGAATTGGAGGGAAAGTCTACGGTATGTCGAGTAATAATTTTAAAACCGATATCTTCATTATTTTGCAAATATAAGGATTTTTGATAAATCGAAGTAGTGGGCGTAAAAGTAGGCATGATCAATATTTTTTTCTTTAAAAACCTAACTCGGGGTATGACGAACGTTTGTACAAAAAAAAAATAATGCAAATCGGTCCAGCCGTTCTCAACTGATTCCATTTCCAACGAACAACATTTTCTTTCTTTTCCCAAGCATTGTAAACGACTTACCGATCTTTGTAGACATAAAGTTGAAACCATTTGCATGTGTCTGGGGTCTTTAGGGCAACCTCTTCAATGGGTATTGTGGACAATGTGCTTAAAATAAATATGGACCCCATTTCACCGGCAGCCGTTGCATTCCCCACCTCGCCATCATTGTGAGCCATTTTTTGCATAGCAGACGGTGCAATGCCAACTGGCCATTTTAATTTGTAACCCAAAACCTCGCAGGTGGTATCCAAACGAGAAACATCTCTCAAGCAGCGTGGACGAATTCGCAACCTGTTGAATTGAAATCGCTCACAGAAATTATTTTCACTTTTTAATATGTTAAATTCGTTTTTTAACAATTTTAAGCACACAGTTTTTTTATTAAATTGATAATTAAATCCTAGGAGCCTTGCAATACCCTACCTCCGAAAAGCTTGACGATTTAAATTTAATGAGACCTCTTCACCGGCACCACTTCGATAATAGTCGACAATTTTTTTGTCTAAAATCTGATGAGCTTCTTCTTCAAAATCGGTTACACAAACGTAGGGAGGAGCCATAGTTCTACCGATCGTTTCTTTTCCAAACGTTGATGATGACTGTCAATCCATAATGGAATTGCAGCTTTTTATAACATTTTTAGTTAAGTTTCGGCATTATTTAGATTAACAATTAACACATGTCTGTCCATGGGGAATGAATTCGTTACAGTTCCTTTTGATATGTACCTGTACGTATGTATGTACTAAAAGAGACGATTCATGTTTTGCAATAAATTGATCAATGTGCTGATAACATCTTTCGATTCGTAGAACAAATAATGCTGTTTTCTAAATTTCACTCTTGGGTCATTCCAGTGATCCATGACCATAAGTGAAAACACGACTCGTAATCTATCTACCCGACTTACAAAGTTAATTTTACTATTTAAAAATCGAAATCAAAAACAAGTAGATGTCGGTGTTTTGAAGTGTTTAAATTTACATGAAAATAAATAAATCATGCAAAACAATTTTTAAATAAAACAAGAAATCCATGTACTATAAAGGAATTTAAAATCTACATAGTGAAGTTTAAAAGTTATTTTTTTTTTAAATTATTGAAATCGGCAGCTCGATTCTTTTTCTATAAAAGTATGAAACGAAAAAATATTTTCTTTACAAAATGTTCCGTTTGACATTACTTTTCTTTATTAAAGAGTTGAGCCCGAGAATTTTTATAAATAATTTTTTAGAAGATACATACCATGGCAAATTGTGTAAGATTATCTCGTGCAAACATATGATATACATACACATTTTCATAAACTCATATAGGCAACATTTGATTTTCGAAACTTAAAAGTGAAAACTTGCATCCTTCGAAATTTTCAGTGTTAAAATGCAATATTTTTCTTAATTTTAATTTGCCTGCTTCGATATGTTATAACCAGTAAGGAAAGATCAAAAGTCTGCTAAGCCGACTATATGATACCCTACACCACTATGTGTATCTAGTAGAGCTCCCGTAACAAAAAAGTTTATATTGGGAATTTATGTGGAGTACCATACCGAAAAAATCTCTTCAATTTGGGCTGATATTACATATATGGTGAGCAATAACCGTAAAATCGAATGAAGATCTGTATTGAAGCTATATACAATCTCATCCGATCTCAATAAAATTTGGAATTTACGAGCAGTATCTGATGCCAGTTATCGAATATTCTTGTTGTCGAGTGCATATTACGCATGTGAGGGACTTTAACACCAAAGCGTATGAAACACATATATGGGAGCTATAGCTATATATGAACCGATTTTCAACAAATTTGAAGGAACTGGCAACTGAATTCAGTCGGAACTGCCAAAATTTGGAGTGATATTGGATATTTGGGGAACAATTAACTCGAAATCGGTAGAAGATATATGGTAGCTATATCTAAATCTGATCCAATTATTACAAATTTCAATAGGGTTCGTCCTTGGGCCAAATAAATATTGTTTGCAAAATTTCATCTCATTCGGATAATAAATGAGACCTGCATTTTGTTCACAAGAAGACATGGACGGAAAGTGATTCTATGAAGATCCTCAAATGTAACTATGGGTCTATCTCGCTTCCTTCTCCATGTTACAAACATATGTACAGAGACATAATACACTGACAGTGTGGTGTAGGGTATATAAATATATACAAATACATACATTATACATGCGTTTGCCGACATAATGACCAGGGACTGGAATCCTATTCTATGAAATGAAAAACAATGTATTTTATAAAATTTTTCATTTGGCATTTCTTTTTATAGAACAAGAATTTTTATTCTTCGTCTTGCGTTAAAATTGTGTAAATCTTAACCAAGGGTTGTCGATTTTCAAATAAGACTAAAGGTGGGAATACATAAAGCGCTTATCTGGCTGGCTTAAGTCATCGGCTGGATTCTTCGGAAATGAACAAAGGAGCCAAGGCCCAATTAAAAACTAAGTCAACCTAAAAGTTGCTTTTTACAAGTTTTCTTATACAACGTTAATCAGAGATTGTTATGATATTCATTTTTCAAACTATTTTAAAGAATTTTTATCATTTTACATTCAAAATTGTAAGTTTCAAAATTGGTTTGACAGTTCATTCTCCCAGCGGCTGTTTCGATGCGACTACCTGGATTCTTCTATCATGAGTATAACCGTTGACTAATAAAGATATAGATTAAAATGTGATGGTTTTAATCTCTCCCGGCAGAGGCCATCATAGTTGATCATTGGTTAGTGTTCCAATGATCAACCGTGGTGGCCACTCAGGACTAGTAAAGTCATTTGACTGCGAAAACAATTTATTCACTTTCCTGCTATTTTAGTTATACCATAGACTAATAAAGGTATACAATTAAAAGTTGTCTCATCTGTTATCTTCGAAAACAAAGTGCTTCAATAGATGTCATTCGTGCTGTGAGAGAGCTTAAGGGTGAGAATACATACAACGATTTTTTGACTGGCTTAGATTATCGGTTGGCTTCTTCGTAAAAGAACCAAGGAGCGTAGGGTGAGCAAGTATAAATTATGAACTGAAATTGAACTGAGTTAACCTAATTCTCTGTTATTTTACGAAAAAACTGTCGATGGCTTAGGCCGTTAAAAAACTTGTTCTATGTATTCCTTTAGATGAGTTCCAATTGGAGATTTACATTTTTTTAATAATCAAAAATACTAATAAACTAATAAAATGTTAACATATTCCTAACTACTCCTCCTTCCTAAATTCATATTTAGACACAGGTCAACCCTTTTTATACCCTCCACCAAAAAAGTTGTGGAGGGTATATTAAGTTCGTCATTCCGTTTGTAACTCATCGAAATAATCATTTTAGTCCCAACAAAGTATATATATTCCTGATCAGCGTAAAATTCTAAGACGTGTCAAGATGGTTTTTATTTAAAAATAAAAGTAATTCTGGGAATAAATACAAAGTTTAAAATGTAATATGCTCTACGCTCCTTAGATGCGTCCGCTCTCGGTCAATGCTCAACGACGACTGACTCATAAACTCATTTTGATAGTTGACAATTCGGCCTCTCCTGACTCTTCGTCCCTCCTGGGCGAACCATCATCAGACTCATCTTTATCTTCGATTTCGAGACTTGGATCACCATAGCACCAGGGCTTCATATGATCGGTCGACATAACACCGCAATATTTCCTTTGCTTCAAACTTAAATCCGGCAGATCCTCTACCAGATAACGATCGTTTCCGATAATTTTCGTGACGATGTATGGTCCTTTATACCGCGCATCCAACTTATGCGATTCTCCTGTAGGCTGCGGTACCGTGTCTATCACCACCAAATCGCCTTCCTTGTACTGAGTTGGCTTGGAATGACGGCTGTCAAATCTTGCTTTCCATTTTTCCTTTTGTTTCTGGATGTTAGCAACAGCCTGCTGTTGAATTACCCTAACATCGAAATTCTCTCTTTCTTCATCACCAACCGCCTGGATAATTCTATTGTAACTGACATCTCTGAGACTAAAGTTGAATATTAAGTCATTTGGACTGAACTTTGTAGTCGCATTCAGCTGCGAGTTAATACTCCACTGTATCGTCGTTGTCTCAGTGTCCCATTCTTTTGTATCACCTACTAGACATTTCAACGCATTCAAAACTGTCTGGTTGATCCGCTCGGCTTGGCCATTGGCTCTTGGTGTTCGGACTGCTGTTTGTACATGTTGTATTCCGTTGTATTCCACAAACTGTTGGAATTCTTTAGACGTGAACGCCGTTCCCTTATCCGATACAATTCTTCGTGGCTGTCCGAAAATCGACATAACTTCTCGCAGCGCTGTTATAACCGGAGCAGTCTTTGTATTCCTGGTTGGCTTTATAAACGCCGTGAATTTCTTGGATTCTTCCTTGACGTGTATCTGGTAATATCCTGATGTCATGTCTAACGTTGTAAAATACTTATTTCCAGATAACAACGAAAGTTGTTCTTCAACCACTGGCATCGAGTACTGCTTTTTGATGGTGACTTCATTTAATGCTCGATAATCCGTACACATACGACTTTCACCGTTCGCCTTTTTGACCAACAATACTGATGCTGCATAGGGCGAATCACTTGGGCGAATAATACAACATCGAAGCAACTTGTCAATTATGTCTGACAGAATTTGTCTTTGAGAAAATGGAACTTGGTATCTTTTACCAACTACAGGCTTGTCCGTAGATAAACTTATTTCCATTTGTGTATTTTTACACCTTCCAAGGTCTTCAAGGGTTTCAGCAAAACAGTCCTTGAATGACGACAGTATTTGGTCTAATTTTTCCTTTTGATGCTCATCCAGACTTTCTCCGACATTAAATGTACTTGGCATTGTTGACTTTACTTTCAAGACACCATGCTCAATTGTAAGTTTTGTTTGCTTCTTACACAATACGTCTCTTCCTAAGAGAACGTCATATCGCATCAAGTCATTCGGCACTACATAAATGGTAGTCATTAAACTCTCCTCGTCGATGACAACGTTAGCCTCAAACATTTCCACCACTTCAACAATAGATCCACCAAAACCTTTCATTCTTTTTGACGTTACTTCCATATCGCAACCCTCTGGAACTACAGCTTTCCGCATTAAGGTAAAGTCGCTTCCAGTGTCCACAAAACCTTCATATGTCTTACCATTGACCGTGACATCTTTCATAACCGGTGGGCAGTAATCCTTAGACTCTTCTGTCATTGCTGCCACAGTTGTACCTTTACCTTTGCATTGCGATGCATCGTGACCAATCTTTGCACATTTACTACACTTCGGCTTCTTCAATGGTTGTGGGCAACTAGTTGAGATATGCCCAAACCTGTTACAATTGAAACACTTTACTCCCTTGGTTGGCGCTCCACCTGAGACACTTGCGGTTTTGTCATCCTCGTCATTCTTTGTTTGCTTCCTTGCATACGTTTGTATGGTCAAATTCTCCAACGACCTTAATAATTCACTACATGTCTGCGGGTTCATAGCTAAAAGTGTTCTTGTTAAGCTGCTATCATTGAGACCATTTATGATGTACGACAGTATTGATGCCTCATCTACGCTTCCTCTTTTCCCTATGGCCAACATTGCGTAATAATATTCCACCA